AAGGTTGGATTGATAAATTAAGTTAAGCTATATAGTGATACATAATGATTATTCTATTACATAGTATTATATACGTTGCAGCAAAAATACATGTTAATTACTACGGAGGAAAAGATAAAATAGACTCTTCTACTCATAAATCGCGTACCCGGCATTATAATAAAACAAAGCTAAATCTTTTCGAAAGGAAAAGATGGTACTTGAGTATCGTATCTTTGAAGAGTGACGAAAGGATGTGTTGGTTTCAATTTTGGTCACCGGTTAGTATGAGTTGCTGCAAGTTTTTTTGAAGGATCAATAGTGATAACGGCTAAGCAAATCAAAATAAACAATAAAAGTACTAATACAACTAAGTCAGGTTGTAATATATCAGTATAATCAAATAGTGACGGAGTAATATATCACTATAATCAAATGACATCCAAGATCTTTAATTCGAAATCTAGGTTTCGAATTAAAGATCTTAGATTTCGAATTAATTCCCCTAACATGACCTATTTGTAAGTCAGGTTTAGGTGTGTGAGACGTGAACTAAACTAATTTCAAACTCAATCAGTTTCATCTATCAAACAACTTGTTCCAATAATTGGAAAAAAAAATCTCAAATCCAATATTCAAGAAAATCAATTGACCTCAACTTATCCCAAAAAAATTAGCCTGGCATATTAATCAAGAAATTAACACAATTAATGAAAAAGCTAAAATAGTTCATGGACATAATAAAAACATAACTTCAAGTTCAAACTAAAAGGCAATTCGAGATATGAAATAATTTAGAAACATAACTGATCGAAGACTTGTTCCTTTAAAAAAGCCTAAAGACTTGTTCATATTTAAGCTTAATTAGGGAAGAAGTTAAACACAAAGCTTCAAGGATTGAAGTTGAAAGATGATAAAAGGTAAAACGAATTTGCTATTGGTGAAATCTCGCAAGTTGCTTCCTCTGGTGTTTTCTATTTTGCGTGAGGATTGCTCTTTTTCTCTTTTCGGATGAAATGTAGGTATATATTCTCACAGCCGGCTATATGGGGAGTAGGCAGTTGTCTAGGGCCCCATTTTTTAAGGGGCCTCATATTTGAGAAAGTAAGCTATTAGAAGTATGTAAACTAAATTACATGGTATTGTTTGGTTTATGTTAATTATTTTTTATCAACGATATAGAAGTATTACTTGGGTATCTCGGATGCTTAATTTCAACGTACCTCACATACACCTGATACACGACTAGAGTATAGAAACCTCAGGAGAAAAGATTGAACGAATGAAAAACAGAGTTTAGACGTGCTTCGGTGTTCGACAATTTCCCCAATTTTCATTTTGCATTATGTTGTCAATAGCTTCTTTGTTGCATTTTTTATCCAAGCAGCCATTTACCGCCATAGGCCCATAGACGGATAGAATTGTTGAAACTATTGATGATTGAAAGAAGGATATAGGATATAGGGTGATTGGGTGAGGAACGCATGATTTATTTTATTTTCATCTTTAGTATCTCCATCCCACTAACATTGGAACATTAGAGAGTGGTGCGGTTATTAAAAAACGGATTTATGTGGTTGATATTGAATCAATAATGTAAGAATGTTTTGAAACAACATACACAAACTTTACCGAATTTGGTATGAGACAATTTTAGTAGGATGAATAAAATGAAAAGATGAGATAAGCTTAGCGGGATGTCAAACGGATGATGTAATATTTATGTAATGATTTCAATACTCATTATTATTTATTTATCACTCTATGGGCCTTTATTTTAATAAGTATTCTTGGTTTCCTATATTATTAGTTTATTTGATGTTATGTTAATTGTTTTGTTTTTTCTTGATGTTGGTACAATAGTGTAAGGTGAGACTGTGTGTGTATCTAGTTTTATGGACTGAGTTGTCTTTATTTTTTTAAAGATTTGTGAGTAATAATGTACACAATGTATATCCTTCAACATTTTAGATAACTTTTAGGCACATATTTTTAGCATTAGTCCAATTATTTTTTCGTTATACATAGTTGAAATAGTTCATACTATTTTTATCCAGAAAATACACTAATATTAATATATGTCAATATTAAGTGTCGGTGTTATATTTTGTCTAGGGCCTAAAAAACTCTCTAGACGGTGTGATTGCTCTTTTTCTCTATTTCTATCTATGGCTGCATTTCTTTCTTCTTCTTCTTTTGTCGGTTGCTGCTCCTCTTTTCTAATCATACGTAGTACTATCATATGTGATAAAACACTTAATACTGATATAACATATAAATATATTTGTAAAACACTATAGTTAACAAAAAGTTTTAATACTCTATTACTCTATATGAGGTAACTTGAATAAAAACAAAGAATGGGATAAACAAAGCAAAAAATCAAGAAACCCCATATGAATCCTTTATTGACTCATGTAACTAAGGTGTCTTACCATAGTGATTTAATTTTTTTAATATGGCGCCCCCTAGAAAATTGAGTCATTATGGTGATGACGTTTTAATGCATATGAGTCCATTAGAAAGGCATATGAGGTTTTAACCAATATCCAAAGTTTTAAAATATTTTAATACTTTAATTTGGGTCTTGGTTAAAAGCAATTGAGTCCACCATAATGTTAATGGAGATTTAGCCTTGATAACCGATCAACACCCTAACATTTTCAACAGCTTCTAATTAACTCTCACATAGTTGATGCTTAATGTGGGATTAAACTTTGATTAAACGTTCTACAGATTTAAACTGTTTTGAAATAGGTTAAGCATTTAGCTAAATTTATCAAAAAAAAAAACATTTGAATTGTTTTTTTGTGAGTTTCATTGTTGGTAATGGGTTAATATACTTACCTAATACCTATTGGATTTGGGGTATTTCTGTGTTGGGCCCAACCCATCATGTGTATGGTCCAATAAAGAAGATTAAATAACCATCTCCTTTTGAAACGTCTAATAGACCATTACCACCATGAAAGAGATCGACCAGACACGTACGAAACGTCTAATTGTCTAAGCATCTATAAAGGGTCAGCCATCTGCATTCTCTTCATGAGGCACCGATGAATGTGTTCTCACGAACATCCTCATGAGGATCCGAATTCAGAGACCCAACTTATCTACTTGTACACATTAACCAATGAAGAACCATTACAAAAAAAACACGGGATTTGACACGTAATTTGGCACAAATTATCGACTTTCTGTGCCAAATAGCTTGATCCAAAGTGTTTTTTACACGAATTTTGCATAATCTCTGGTAAAATCTCTGTCAATCCCGTGTTTTTTGGTAGTGAACTATCCAAATTAAACCATATGTGTCTGGACAAAGTTATACAAAGTATTGTCTTAAAAGAAATTTATAAAGCCAATGTATACATCTACTTGTCTTTTGTAAATTCCATCATATCATTGACCTTCCCCGAAGATACAATTGGCATGCACGCACTACTTTTAACCAAGGCCCAAAGTTTTCACGCCGCCATGCCACTACCGGCCCGCCTGATTCGAAGTTAAAACCTGGCCAGCCGGTAACATTTTTCATTGATATATGCGCATTAAATGTTGGGTGGTTGTACGGTTGGACCAGTTCTGGCTCCAATTCCAGATGGCACGTAAAACAAGGTCATACCGTGCCATTTCATCCTACATTATTAGTGTCTACAGTTCTCAAAAATCTATGGTTGACTTTTATTTAACAGTAATAATGGTTATACGAAGTACTCCGTAGTAAAGTTATAAAATTTACGGTGGCTCAATAATAGAAGTATATAATATTCTCTATACTAAAATAATATTTCATTTTTCCATTCGTCTCAATATAAAATTTTGGTTCTCTTTTGGGTAAAATTTGATAGTTCACAACATTTCCCTCAACTTCCTCTTTGTATAAAGTCAAAAATGGAGTAGAAGTTTATTATGGAATGGACGGATTTGTATTTTGATGGTCAAAATGCACCTTTAGTTTTGTCATTTTCCTTTGAGGAATGTTTAGGTCCGAATATTCCCCGTCCGAGCACTGTCCGAACATGGACGTTTGGGACACTTCCCGGTCGAATTTTTTGAAGAAATTTTTTGAGCAGGTTCCTCATCAAGTCTAGTTTGTCCATACCAAATTTCAGCTCAAAATTCGATCGGGAAGGCATTCAAATCATTTTTTGAAGTTGACTGCGTCAAAATATACATATAAAAACGCAGTCAACTTCAAAAAATGATTTGAATGCCTTCTCGATCGAATTTTGAGCTGAAATTTGGTATGGACAAACTAGACTTGATGAGGAACGTGCTCAAAAAATTTCATCATAAAATTCCACCGGGAAGGACCCCAAACGAGGATGTTCGGACGGAGGGTCCTGTCCGAACGTTTGGACCTGATCATTCTTGTTCCTTAATATAATGAATCTTTGCATTGCATTGATTCGGCTCTACATGATTGTGAGATTAGTGAGAATGACTGAATTTCTTCTTTAAAATCTATTTTTTATGAATAATAAATTTTAGTACAAAGTACAATGTTTACATACAGTTTTATATTGTTTGTTATTGTGTCGTTATTATAATTTAATAATAATAATAATAAACTATATTGACTATTTTATTAAATACTCCGTATTAAATTAAGAAATACGTAGTAACTTTAAAATCTATTTCACCTTATTTTGTCCTTGTCATCGTTGTAAAGTGGATATATTAATTTTGATTGTGATTTTGGAGAGCAAATTGAATAAATAATGATGTAAATAGAAACAATAATTAAGGTATCATTTATACATTTAGGATGTTTTTACTTGGAGTGTAATTTGCCCCAGACCAGACCAGACTAGTCCAGACCAGACCAGACCAGTTCAGACCAGACTTGGATAGTTATAAAAATACAAAGAAACCAGACCTTACCAGACCAGACCAGTTCAGACCAGACCAGCAAATTAAGTAAAAACATCCTTAACCCACACACGTCCAAAAAAGAGAGTAGGAGGTTCTAGACTTCTAGCTACCTAGATGGAGTCATGGAGTATATATTTGTGTGGGAGTAGAAATGAAGAAAGTATAGTAACGTAGGTAGGATTATGGAGAAGAGAGGGAGTATAATGGGAGTGATTTTATTAGCACTCTTGCTAATTACATCATCCTTGTTATTGCAAGCCGAAGCTGCTCGATCTCACCCAAAGCATATACATCACCTTCTTACCGCCACAAAACAAGACAATGAACCAGAAAAGAGTAGACGCATCACCGTCCTCGGCGGAACGATTGGCCGAAGAAGGTGCCGCCGCCGTGGCATTATTGGCGGCGCCAGGTTCAGGCCATGCCGCTCGCCGCTGTTACCTCTTATTCCATCGCCTCCGCCGCCCTTCTTTCACTTGCCTCCTCTGCCGCCGACAATAATCTTTCCGCCACCTCTGCTCCTCTCCCCACCGCCACACAACCGACCAAATAAACCTGTCTTCCCGTGGGTAGCTCCAGCCATCCCGCGCTTACCAGCGGCGCCGCCTCCGCCGCCGACAATAATCTTTCCGCCACCTCTGGTCCTCTCCCCGCCGCCACAAAATCAACCAAAACCTGTCATCCCGTGGGTAGCTCCAACCATCCCGCCGCTTGTCCCCGTGTTCACTGACCCGCCGCCATTCTTTTCAGTTTCGCCGCCGGTTCCAGACTTCGCGCCGCCAGATTTCTCTGCACCGGCGCCGCCACTTGTCCCCATATTTTCACCCCCACAAGAATAGCTGCATGCAACTCCTCCTGGATTTACCTCAAGCTAAGCTAAGGTTATTCTTTTGTTATGGCAGTATTGAAGCCCTTTTGTGGGGCAGAATAATGGAACCCGGAATTGTGTTTTCACTGATCTATAACTTATTTAGATTGATATACAATTGTACTATTCTAGCTTTTTTTACATCCAAAATTGTTCGAGTGAAATTCTTGAATTGAAGTTATCAGGACTAAAATATCTGAATTGAATTTATGTGTTATTTAAAAATAAAATCTGAATGTATAAAATATAGAAAAATTATAAGGAGTACGAAAATGTAAAATATAAACACACCACAGCATAAACTAAGAAAAAGTTATATTGTAAAAAAAAGCTGAGATTGTTTTCTATAATAACTTATGTTAACTTGTTAATTTAACATAAAACTTATTAATCTTTACAAATTTCGCAAAATTAAAAATTCATTTTTTGTTACATAAAGTGACGTGTTGTGATATGACAATATATGGGTGACAAAGATGGAGATTTCCAAGCTGGTCTAAGTTTTGTGGTATTTGTTTAAACAAAAATGATTTTTGTACCTACTCTTATACTCATTTTTGTACTCACATATGTTTGTGAAGTGTTTTTTTTGTTCACAGACAATATTTTGCACAGGCAAAATATTGTCTGTGAATCAGGTTCATAGACAAAAAAAAACATTCACAAACACAGTGGGTATAAGTGGGTATAAGAGTGGGTACATCAAGCATTATTCTTCTTTAAATTTGACTAAATTGAAGCTTAATTAATTCCAAAAAATTCAATGTCAGTTTGTTATGTCACTGAAAGAATATTATGTCGCCAATAGTTACTACATACTCGGTATGTCGCTACCGCTGCCGTTAATGTCATTATCATCGTAGAACATGTCACTCTGACTATAAGAAAAAATTCTGCATATCATTATTATGTTGAAATTAAAGAAAAAATTCAAAACGGAAAAATATTCTGTGAAATGTTTTCAAGCAATACTTGCGTCCCCAAATAAGTTTCTTGTTTTCCTTTTTGGAATGTTCCAAATGGCCAAAATAATTGTCCAGTTTCCTCTTTTGACAATAATATGTGGCTCATATCAATTCAACATTTTTCCACTCAATCTCAACCACAATTTTATTTTTCCCACAACTTTCTTAAAATCTGTGCTAAAGCAAACAAGACAATTAATTTGGGACGGAGGGAGTAATTGGTTGTAGCAATTTCTGTTTAAAATTTCTAGCTAACGTCTGAGCAATTTTTTATTATGAATATTGATGATACATACAAGATTCGAATGACGGGAAACTATATAACTAAGATTTAAAATATCATGACTTTTTTATTGCTAAAGTTTTAAAAAACTTTAGTATTACAATAAATAAATAAATAGAAAATGGAAAATAGAGTTTTATGATATTTTAGATTCTTTAGAAAAGATATTTTAGATTTTTAATTGATACTACCTCCGTCCCGTTGAAAGGTTCTCATTAAAAAGTGACACAGTTATTTAGACAATAATTAAATTAAATAAGGTAATTCATGTATATTTGAAAAATAATTTTAATAGGTATAATGATATATAATACAATGGAGTTAGTGTTATAACTGTGATATTATAAATGCATTATTTCTAATATTTAATGATAATTTATTATTTAAGATTATTAATAATTTCCTAAAATGGATATGAAAATTTTTATATGTGGCGTCTAAAAAAAAGTAAATAATAACCTCTTTATTAGACGGGTAGTCTTTTTATCATTTTCATTTTTGAGGTCTTCCTTAATTAATAGTCTTAACTTCGTAAATTATACCGTGCAGCCGATTGTACGGTGAGCACCGTACATCCGACCATTTTTGCAACTAGATTTTCACCCGTGCTTCGCACGGGATGCAGTTATTAACAATTAATTATTTATGAATATATAAAAATGGTGTGATAAAGATACACCAATGAATATATTATTTTTAACAAAAGTAAATGAAGAGTAAAAACCAACAAATTATATACGTAGTACTTCTTTGTAATTAACATTTAAAGTCTTCTTTGCCGATTTTTCATATCGAAAAGACACCACCAACTTTTTTCTCTACAGATTTCAAGATTTCCTCGTAAATAACATGTTGCTCATCATTCATATCAGCCATCAAGCTTTTGTGCTCCTCGACCAAAGCACGCTTATCATATCTCATTTCCTCGTTAATAATGAGAACAACTTCCATCGAAGGCTTGTATGAGTCAAGGGACAACGACTCATATATCTAGATCTTTTCAGTGTCCTCATATTGTACAATATATCTTCTGAAAAATATTGCCGGCATCTCTCCAACTCTAAATCTATCTTTGATAGTGCACCCGCAATAAGTACAATCACAAACACCTCTAATATTTTTTAAATAATGGTTATACACGCGCGCTCGCATAGCATACATATTAGATGTTTGTGTGTGGAGGTCTTATTTTTACGTTTGAATACATCACATGCCCGCATATTATTTTATTTTTTATTTTAAAGCATCACATTTTCTTTCCATCATTTGCAATGGACTAATGGAGCCAAAGATTCATTATTTTTTGGCTTGATAATATGATGAAATAAAGCAAAATGACTCACTAAACTGTCTCCTCTTCTTTGTTATGAAGCAGTAGTCGACCCCCCTTACCCCACCGTAGGTGGGAGCCTTTGCACCAATGGGGTAAATGAAAATGAAATAAAAATGATCACATTATCTTTTTCGTATTTCAAGATTTACATATTGATTCTACATAACATGTGGGTGCTAGTGTGTTAGGGACGTTGAAATTTTATATAAGTGTGTAAAACTGTAAATACATGAATGAATTAACGTATACAAATCTGTGTATTGTATATACATGTTTCATTTATGATAAGAGTCATTTCTATATTTTTCCTCACTTCAAAAATTTACTTCCTCTACTCCAATAAAGATATTCACTCGCCTATTTTGGACGTCTCATTTAAAAAGTTCTTAATTTAATTTGAGGAAATCATTAACTCTATCAAGATATAAAACTAAATTAACACTACATATGTGAAAAGTAGAATGATCCATTCATATTAAGCCAAATGAAAATATACATTTTGGTACATGTGACTATGTGAGGGTGAAGAAAATGTAGCTCACAAAGGCTACATTTTCACTGTATTATCTAAAGAAATACAAAAGTGAAAACTAAATGAAAAGATGAATTTTTAAAATAAACAAATACTCCGTATTAATTTAAAAGAGTGGGAAAGATATACTCTTACAACATAATGCATCAAACTAAAGAAACCGTAAAAGTAAAACTAATTGAAGCATTAAGCAAAACATATTTCCAAGTGGTTGGTGCGACCGTGCGACCCAGTATTTCCACAACATATTTCCTGCAAGTTAAATGAATAAGAAATATCAAAGAAAGGAAGTTGAGATAAAGAATGGATAGGATTTACATAATAAAAGAAAAGTTAGCACATCTGAAATAGAAGTGAAAGAGGAAAACAACCCTTTGTCACAATAAAGAATAAAAGTTTAAATTAAAAACATTCATGGGGTGATGAAGTTCAAAGAGACACGATGAGATTTAAAGTGTGAGAGAAAATTGAAATAATAAAATGGGAAGATATTCAAATTACAGTGAGGCTCTGGGAACTGCAATCAATGACACACTAATATGAACTATGTCGTCCTTATAGTAGATCTAAATGTAAATATAGAAAGTGAATGAAATACTGGTAACATACCAAGCCAAAGACACAATCATACAACTTTTAAATACCGAATAAATCAAACCATACACCGTACCGCCCTTATGGCGCTAGTGCAAAAGAATTTGATCCATGCCTAAGATTGTATATTCCTATAGAATAATTTAAAGCCAAGAATTGGAAATAATGAGTTGGAATGAAGGAAAAAATGAAATAAGTGGATAAGATATGTGAAATAAAAGCAAAAAAATCCCACAAATCCAAGTGGAAAAAAGAGATAAATTGAGCATCTTAGCTTCCCTATAAAATATGTTCTTATCAGTTACCCCTTTTCTTAAGCTAAAGAAATTTCCTTAACTTTATCATTGTTGTATGTAAGCTAAAGAAATTTATTTAACCTTAGATCGAGTAGAATAGCAGAGTTTATGTTAACTAACATATTGAACAAACTTAAAGTTTTTTAAAATAGCATTGTCATTGGCCAGAAAATTTCAAGTTTGATTTAGTTTTAAAATATCAATGCCAAAGAGAATATTAATTGTCTAAGGCTGATATGGAACCTTAGTCCTTAAAATATCAATACTCAAGCAGTTCTTAAACACAAAACAGAAGCTGAAGCAGTTACCTCTTTTCCTAAGCTAAAAGAAATTTCTTTAGCTTTATTACTAAAGAAATAGGTAGAATGGTTGATAAAGAACGCAGCATAAAGGGATAAACATGTTCAATTATTGTGGGCATATCATTCAGCAATTTGAGAAAAAATTGACACCTTGGAAGCAGAAAATTCTTTCTCAGGGGGCAGATTAATTTTAATTAAGCATGTTCTAAATTCTATCCCTATGCATGTTCTAGCAGTTGATCAGTTGCCCAAGAAAGTCATCAGAGTACTAAACAGTAAACTCTCTTCTTTTTTCTGGGGATACTCTGGAGATAGATCTAAATACCATTGGATTAAGTGGGACCATTTATGTATGCCAACTAATGAAGGGGGCTTGGGAATTAGATCTCTCTCGGATATTGAAAAGGCTTTTACTCTAAAACTTTGGTGGAAGTGGAAAGCTGGGGATTCCATTTGGAGTCAATTTATTAAGCTCAGATATAATAGAGATGGAGACATGGTACCTAAGGTAACTGATTCCTCAGTTTGGAGAAGAATATGTCATATCCATGATTTAGCCTCCTCCTTATGCTCTGAATCACCCTCTGGAGAACCTATCTGAAATGAGGAAATCAATGGACAGTTTTCATTAAGATCTGCTTATAATGAAGTTAGAAACCAACTATTGCCAACATTATCTTTCAAGCATTTATGGCATCCTAAGCAAGAACTTAAAATAAAGCTGCTGCAGTGGAAAATCATCAAAGGAATCCTCCCCTTCCTTGAAAAACTCATCAGGTTCCATCTGGCTACTAACCCCTCAATATGCCTTATTTGTATAAACAGCAGTGATTCTTTGGAGCATGTATTCTACCAATGTACTAAAATAAAACCAATCT